TTTTTTACTCTTCTTTTTTTTCATCAAAATAATCTCTTTCCAGTCGGGTTGAGTTGCAATGATTGTTTGAACTTGAGAAGGTTCTGCTCTTCTGGGCTTATCTCTGCCTCGACCATGTGCCTGGGCTGCCTGAGGTGAGGAAGTCTTTGAGGACTCTTGCCCAGAGGGTCTGTCCTTCATGGACTGTGCCCCTTCTGTATCTCTTGTTTAGACACTGGCTCTAACATACCTTTTCCCCCATATTTACATGAGATGTATTTAAAATTAGTGTTTAACATCCTCCACTACTGTAGAGAAGCTTAACTGTTAATAACCAGTGAATATGAAGCAAGAGCCTAGAGGCCAAGTTCAACCTTCCCTGAACCAGCTGAGAGTCGTGGGAGCCAGGTCAGTTCTCCTCGGGTCCTTCTGTGTGTTTCTAGTTGCTGTTGCTCTCGGGCCCAGCAGAAATACTGATGGACCTCATTAATATTGGATTCATGTGCAGAGTATTTTAAAATTTTAAAATTTTATCCTCATGTATCAGGCACAGACAGCCTGTGTGTCGTATCTGGTTTTGACGATGTCCTTTTTGGTAGAGACAGAGTCTCACTTTATCACCCTTGGTAGAGTGCTGTGGCGTCACAGCTCACAGCAACCTCCAACTCCTGGACTTAGGCGATTCTCTAGCTCAGCCTCCCAAGTAGCTGAGACTACAGGTGCCCGCCACAACACCCAGCTATTTTTTGGTTGAAATTTGGCTGAGGTCGGGTTTGAACCCGCCACCCTTGGTATACAGGGCCAACACCTTAGTCACTGAGCCACAGGTGCCACCCTGATGTTTAGGATTTTCAGAGGTGACTGAGTGATGGCAGGAGGAGGTCAGTGTCCTCGAGAGAAGTTTTTTATTTTTAGACAGAGTCTCACTTTGTTGACCTCGGTATCATGCTGTTATCGTCATCACAGCTCACAGCAGCCTCCAGCTACTGGACTCAAGCAATCCTTCTGCCTCAGCCTCCCGAGTAGCTGGGACTACAGGCACCTGCCAACACATGCCCAGCTACTTTTTCTATTTTTAGTAGAGACGGGGTCTCACTCTTGTTCTGGCTGGTCTTGAACTCCTAAACTCTAGGGATCCTCCCACCTTGACCTCCCATGGTGCCGGGATTACAAGCATGAGCCACTGCACAGCCACTACACCTGGCCTGTAGAGAAGTTTTATTACATAGTGCACTTAAGGGAAGGAGGATGCCATATGGGGAAGCTTTTGGATTAGTCAGAAGGCAGGAAGGAAGGAGAAATCAGAGCCCCCAGTCTTTTTTTTTTTTTTTTTTTTTTTGAGCCTCAAGCTGTAACCCTGGGTAGAGTGCTGTGGCATCACAGCTCATAGGAACCTCTAACTCCTGGGCTCAAGCGATTCTCCTGCCTCCACCTCCCAAGTAGCTGGGACCACAGGTGCCTGCCACAACACCTGGCTATTTTTTGGTTGCAGCCGTCATTGTTATTTGGCAGGCCCAGGCAGAATTCTAACCTACCAGCTCAGGTGTATGTGGCTGGTGCCTTAGCCACTTGAGCCACAGGTGCCGAGCCAGAGCCCCCGGTCTTTATGATGGTTTCTTTGAGGGAGAATGTTCAAAGCAGGGTAGGTAAGTTCATCCAATTCCAGCAGACTCTGAGTTATAAGAATGGTCTTCAGTTGTATAGTGCCTGACCTGGGTTGATTTAGGGCAGGGGAAATATTAGTTTGAGGCGTGAGAGTTAGATAAAATAGGATTTTGGACTTAGGTTTTGGACCGCAAAAATGGAGTTTGGACTTAAGATTTTGGACTGGTTGGTTTGCATCTGAAAGGCAGGCTTTGGGGAGTCACTTGCCATCTCTAAGAATTAGCCAGTGATACAGAGAGACAGTCTCCTAGATCATAAAATATAGAATTTTTTTTTTTTTTGAGACAGAACATCAAGCTGTCCCCCTTGGTAGAGTGCCGTGGCATCACAGCTCACAGCAACCTCCAACTCCTGGGCTCAAGCAAGTCTCCTGCCTCAGCATCCCAAGTAGCTGGGACCACAGGTGCCCACCACAACACCTGGCTATTTTTTGGTTGCAGCCATCATTGTTGTTTGGTGGACTGGGCTGGATTTGAACCTGCCACCTCAGGTGCATGTGGCTGGTGCCTCAGCCACTTGAGCCACAGGCGCCGAGCCTAGAATATTTTAAATAATGATTAATACACTATCCACTAATGAGTGGAAAGTGCCACGTTGTGTTTTTACTGAGAAGCCATGCAAAGCAGTATTTTATTGGTTGTTTATCATTCACATCTGTTGACTGTCCCCACTCTGGGTAAATGCGTGCATGGTGGACAGTGTTCGTCCTGCTGGATGGGGCAGAAATGGATATAATTATGTAATTTATTAAGCTGCAGATACTAATGTCTCTCCTACATCTCAATTCTTCTTTTTTCTCCTTCTAAGTGTTCATATTCTTAAAACTTCCTTAGGACTCAAATAATTCGTCTTGCTTTTTTACCTTTGTATGGCCTGAGCTTTGGTAATATATTTTTTTTTTTTTGGTCAGAGACAGAGTCTTATTTTATCGCCCTCGGTAGAGTGCTGTAGTATCACAGCTCACAGCAACCTCCAGCTCTTGGGCTTAGGCGATTCTCTTGCCTCAGCCTCCTGAGTAGCTGGGACTATAGGCGCCCACTACAACGCCTGGCTATTTTTTTGTTGCAGTTTGACTGGGGCCAGATTTGAACCCTCCACCCTCAGTATATGGGGCTGCTGCCCTACTCACTGAGCCACAGGCGCCACCCGAGCCTTGATAATGTTAATGTGGAATCCACTACATTATCCAGGCGACAGGTGGAAGGAAGAATCATCCTGGCTTTCCTGTGTAGCTTTTCACAGTGCAGGTACCCCCGCTTTCCTGCCTCCCAGGCAGGAGTGTGACCATGTCCGTTTCCCTTTCCCCTTCCTCCTGCGCCTCAGGGCTTCTCCATCCTGTTCTATCAGTAAACACTGAAGGTCTTCTTGTTGGAACCGTCCTGTGTGTCTGCCTCCTTCCCTTCCAGAGGGTGGCTTGGGCTGACACATGCACACTCTCCACCCCCAGAATGTGCTGAGGGGGTGCGATTTGCCAACAAGTGCCTCAGCTCTGAGTACTGGCATGAAGGGAACACAAGACTGATTTTATTAAAGAAACTAGGCTGTCTTAACCTAACCAGTTTTACGGTTTATAATAACTAGGGCTGTGTTTCTATTCAATTCTCCAGTAGACTCTCAGGAAATTATTGATAGAACATGTGGTCACGTTTCTCTAGTAATAGCAGATTTATTTTCCTTTTTGTATTTTCAAGAGTCCTTCTTCCTCTTTCTCTCATCCCCCATGCCACACATGATATTTCTAAGACATCAAACAGGAAGTGTCATCCAGGATCAAACTTCATCTGTGCCATTTGCACAGATTACAACAGGTGATATTGGCTTGGGTTCTCCAAGAAGTAGGCCCTCAGCCAAGAATTTGAGTGAAAATTGTTTATGAAGGAAGTCCTGAGATAAACCAGAAAAAAGAGGAAAAGAAATGAGGGAAAAATAACAAACAAGAGTTTTATTTATGTAAAGAAAGTCTGCAACTGTCTTTACACCTCAGAGCTGGCTCATGAAGGCTTTTTCTGTTGCCTTCAGGAAGAAGGTATCTAGAGCTCACACCATCTATTAACACGGGACCTGGCTGCGTGTGGTGGCTCATGCCTGAGTTCCCAGCACTCTGGGAGGCAGAGAAGGCAGGATCCCTTGAGCTTAGGGGTTTGAGACCAGCCTGAGCAAGAGTGAGATCCCATCTCAAAATAGCCAAGCACTGTGGTGGGCACCTGTAGTCCCAGCTACTCGGGAGGCTGAGGCAGGAGGATGGTTTGAGCACAAGAGTTTGAGGTTGCTGTGAGCTATGAAGATGCCAGGGCACTCTACCCAGGGCAACGAGTGAGACTCTATCTCAAAAAAAAAAGGGGGGGGGTTTATATTTTTTCTGGCCTGGCAGTTAAGTTACTTGCTGATCAGCTCAGTCTTTTAGAACCTTGTTAAAAACTTTGTTAGGTCAAGTTCAAGTAGCCTCTATCACCCTGTGTCGTGTGGCCTGCGACTAAGGTGTCACCCTGCTGTGGTCTCTACCAGATTCCCCAGATGTCCACTGGGGCCTGTCTCCCTGGCTGGTCATAGTTTGAAGTTGCCCCAGGCCTGGGAAGGCTCGGGGCTCCATCTGCGGTGGAGTGCCGGTTGCCCTTTGCTGACCTGTGTGTCTCTCCCCTGCACCTGTGCGGCTTAATGTCCACCCATGGGCCTAATGCAGTCCCTCTGTGAATGTCCAGGACTCCTGTGCTTCACTCCACAAATTCCGCCTGTCATGGCTTTCCTGAAATCTGCCCCCAACCCCTAACTCAGCAGGACCCGCTTCCTTTGCTGGGGTCACTCCTCTTGGGCCTGCTGTGTAAAAAGTGTTATCAGGTGGAAATGTGGGGTTGTCTGAGGACCCATTCCCTTCTTCCAGAGATCACAGCCTTGGGCTACCTGGTGACCAACATCTGAAAAACCTTGTTTCCTGTATTCCATTCTGTTTTCTAGTCATTTCCAGCGGCCCCGTTACTCCTATCATGGCTTGCTTCAGTTTTTTTCTGTGTAACCCGTGTGTACCCAGCTTCACGCCCTTTGTATAACATGGTAAAGACCTGCTTCTTTTTGTCCCACATTACCTACAATTTGTATTTGGCAATTGGCAGCCTTGTCTGTGACAGATTTACAGCGACAGTTCATTGTAGAAAGGGCCGAGGGGTGAGGAGTGTGGACTGGATAAACAAACAAAAAAAGTCTGTCAAATTTCTGGAGAGGTGACTGAAGAAATGCTGATACACTCCTTAGGGTGTAGGAGTTGAAGCTAGCTGCTCTCTAGAAAGCTTAAATAGTCCAGTAAGCAAAACTAAATTATTAAAGAAAAAAAAGCCCCCAAACTGTATCTGATGTATTTTCAGAAACCACACAGATAGAAGATCCGAGAAAACAATGGAGGGGGGAACAGGAGAAGATGCTCAAGGACTATCTCTCGGTGGCCCAGGACGCGCTGAGGACGCAGAAGGAGCTGTACCACGTGAAGGAGCAGAGGCTGGCGCTGGCCCTGGACGAATACGTGCGGCTGAACGACGCCTACAGGGAAAAGTCGAGTTCTCACACGAGCCGTAAGTGCTTCAGAAGTGGAGGCTGAGGGGTGCGTAGCCGGCGACCACTTCACTGGCATTTCTGTGAAGTCTGGTTTCGAGGCCTTTCCCCTCCCGTCAGGAAGAGTTCCTCAAAGCCTGAGAAGCTGGGGGCGCGCTGCAGATTTCTCAGGAAAGCCCCCCAACCCCATTCCAGAGACAAGGCTTCCCACTGGGGAGTCTGTGTGCCTCTGTGTCATTAATTCATCTATGAATTAATTTTTACTGTCTCAGAGCAAGACCAGTCAGTTGGTGATTTTGCTCCTCTTGTATTTTTTTAGTGGGGAGGAACCAGAACTCTTAGCTACAGCGAGGTTTCCCTTGATGGCTTGAGTTGATTTATCGCCCCCCTCCCCCAGCTCATAGATTGAGAATGCAAACCCGGCTTTGTTTAAAGAAGCAGCTGTGACAGGCTCATAAAGTTTACTTAGATTATAAATTCCTGGATAATGCAGAGCTCTCCCCGCTGCATCTGCAGTGACATCCTCTAAGGTCATAGATGTATGAAACCCCCAGGAGAAAATTAAGCACCAGGGTCTGTATGACTTTCTGTTTTACTGAGTTTTTAAAAAGAAATTACAGAGATTTGAAGGTTACTATTTATATTTACATGTCTGATGAGTGACGGTAAAGGAACTGTAAAATGAAATAAGCATCCAGAAGCACATAAATCTTGTTGTTTTAATCTCTTTTTCTTTTTTCTTTTGAGACAGAGCCTCAAGATGTCATCCTGGGTAGAGTGCTATGGCATCACAGCTCATAGCAACCTCCAACTCCTGGGATCAAGCAAATCTCCTGCCTCCGCCTCCCAAGTAGCTGGGACCACAGGCGCCCACCACAACACCCGGGGCCATTTTTTGGTTGCAGCCGTCATTGTTGTTTGGCGGGCCAGGGCTGGATGTGAACCCGCTAGCTCAGGTGTATGTGGCTGGCTCCTTAGCTGCTTGAGCCATAGGCGCTGAGTCAATCTTATTGTTTTAAGAGTCAATAAATTCAGGCTGGACACGGTGGCTCACACCTGTAATCCCAGCACTCTGGGAGGCCGAGGCAGGTGGATTGCATAAGCTCAGGAGTTTGAGACCAGCCTGAGCAAGAGTGAGACCCCATCTCTACTAAAAATAGAAAAACTAGCTGGGTGCGGTGGCAGTCGCCTGTAGTTCCAGCTCCTACAGTTCCAGGAGTTTGAGGTTGCTGGGAACTATGATGCCATGGCACCCTGTTGGAGTGAGACTCTGTCTCAAAAAAAAAAAAAGGTAAATTCTAAGCTGAAGAAACTAGTCAGGCAGCTTGTAAAGAATTATTTTTTTCTTTTTTCTCATTTAAAAGTATTCTCAGGATCTTCATCCAGTACTAAATATGATCCCGAGATTTTAAAAGCTGAGATCTCTACTACACGATTAAGGGTGAGTGGTTTAAGTTGTGGTTCTACATTAGCTATGGCGTGGACTCTGAAGGCTGTGGAAGGGGTGTGAGTGGCCTTCCTCCTGTCTCTGTTCATTGTAGCAAACTCCTCCTCCTGTCCTGTTGGGTGATGTTTCTGCCTCTGTTTGAACAAATTCATTGTTTGGGTGACAGAGCAAGGCCTTGTCTCTAAGAAAAAGAACAAGGCCTCTTTGCCTTTTCGCCTACTTACCCTGGCAGTGGAGGCCCATTCGCCGCTGTCCATGGCAAATGTACCTTGCTCTGTCAGCCTGTATCTTGCTTTTACTCTGTAAACCTCCCTTTGTCTTCCTCAGTAAACCTGGTTTCATGCTTGTCTTAAAAATGAAAAGAAAAAAAAATTATCTCCAAGTCCGTGGGAAATTTCAGTTTCTGAAAAATACTACGATCTAAATAAAACAGAGTCATAGCCTGGATGGGGGATTAGAGAAATCCTGTTTGAAAGGTGCTGTTTGTGCTAACAGGGGAGTGAGGAGGAGATGGCCCCTGGAGATCTGGGAAGAGCTTTTCAGGCATAGGGAGTATCGTAGGAGAAAACTGAGGCACCTCTGGGAAATAGAGGAGATGGTCCTGGCACAGTGAGTGACAACGGGAGCATGAGCTTTAGAAATGGCAGAGATGGGCGGCCCCTATGGCTCAAGGAGTAGGGCACCGGCCCCATATACCAGGGATAGCGGGTTCGAGCCTGGCCCTGGCCAAAACTGCAAAAAAAAAAAAAGAAAGAAAGAAATGGCAGGGACACCATCGCTCAAAGTTCTCACTCTGCTTTTATTGGCTGTTTATCACAAAGTGGAGACCACAGTGATGTCCCGCTCGTTGGAACGTTGCTGAACAAGATAATTTGGCTAAAGTGATAATTTAAACATAACCCATGTACTTTCCACAGAATTTATGTGGAGGTAAATATTACACTGGTAAAGTGTAAAACGAATGGTTTTATTAATATTTTTAGTACTTTACTAATTTATTGTCTTTTAAAAAGGATGCAACATGTTGCTGGTCATTTGCCAACATTAATATTTACACTGATTTTTCGTAAAAGGTTAAAAAGCTGAAAAGAGAACTCTCACAGATGAAGCAAGAACTGCTCTATAAGGAACAAGGCTTTGAAACGCTGCAACAGTGAGTATAAAAAGACTGAAATCACCACTAGAATGGGCTCTCTGACCAATAGGAAGAAGTTAGGAGCATAGGTGACGATTTCTCATGGAAACCTGAAGTAAAAAAAAAAAAAAAAACCTCAGAGTTTTGCACCCAGAAAACAAAAAAAAAACAATCACCCAAACGTGAAAGAAATCTATGCACTTGAAAAGGTCAGAAATGTCTATCATTAGTTATTGGAGATTCAAAGAAACTGAAGTAAAAAACTGAAGTTTGTCTCCTGGACCCCTGCCGGCTCTGCTAGGTTGTGGCAGAGCTGAGATGCCGGACTAGCCAGCTGTGCTGGACCCCAGAGGAGGCCCTGGCTGCTGGGGGCATCTCTCTGCCTTTCTGTCAGCCCTGGAGTGACCTGGAGTCTAACTCAGGGTTGCAAATGCAAGTCAACACTGTTGGCATAGGAGCTGGCATGTTCCTCACCTCCCATCTGCCTCTGTCCTCACCAGCTCAGGACTAAAGTCTGGTGGGCCACTGGCGCACCTGTAGGCTGGGCCAGAGTAAGTGAAAATGTAGGTGTCCGAGGGTGCAGGGTCTGAAAGTCTTCCTGGTCCCAGCCCCTGGAAGCCACTGTGCTCCCTGGCGATGAGGCCCAGCCCACTCAAACCTTAACAGGCACACCTGGGACGTTCTGACCTCACATGGTCTCTCGGGGATGAGAAGCAGCACCTGGTTTTGAGAGTCACATGACCACCACAGAGCAGGTGGAAGGTGGCATCCCTTGAAAGGCACCAACTGCTTTTTGCTGCCCGCCTGCTGGTGAGGCCAGGTGCACTGCGGTATTTCTAGAATTTCCCTGGTTGCTCCTGTTCTTCCCAGCACCTTCCTCAGTGGCACCTCAGCAAGGCCCAGCCAGTCTCAGGAGCCATCTCTGTGGGAAGTGCTCAGTTCTGTTCCTTTTCCCTGTAGGGGAATCCAGCAGCAAGGCGTCACCCTCTAAAGACCCTCTGTGTCACTGGCCGGACACACAAGGGCCAGTCTGTTGGTCTGGAGGGTGAGTTGTATCCTGGGACACCGGCCACTGCTCTTGACCA